ATAATTAGATGTGCCCCTTGACTATTTATCTAACCATACTTGAGAGCTATAGATTTAAGATGTATCTTGCTCAGTAGTGAGAAGTTATTTAACATTTATGAGGTCGGGCAATACGTAAGTTAGCCATGGAGCACTTACTTCATAGCTATTCTAGCTTCATTGTGGCAAAATTGCAATTCTACTCTGTCTACTGTGCCCCTAAAGAAATCTTGGAAAACTCAACAACTTGTTTACCATTGCAGCTGAGATTTTACTGCCATTACTTGACTCTTAAGAGAGTCTGTCTTATTTAAGGACACCTGGAGTAGCAGGAGGCTCCCTTATTAAACCTTTAGGATTACACAGCAAAGACTACTTGTGATCCAACATCACTTAAAATAAGTGTATCAGCCTTACAGCAGTTATCAAGCTGTGTGGCAGAACTCATTTTAAACTAGCAATTTCTGCAGTGTATCTTGCTCAGAAGCAAGGCAGTCAACCCTTATCACTTATGAAGTTAGAAAGCCAACATTTTTAACACCTTGCTGACTGGCTGTTTCGAGCCAGAACTCGCCTGTGTGGCCAGCTCCTTTTCCGTCATGACCGGTCAGCAAGGTGTTTAAAATCACTTAAATTAATGTAAGTGCAAACACGAGTTATCTCATGGCCACTCAGCAACGTTCAGAAATGGAAACACATGTACAGTGACCAGCCAGCAAGGTGTTGATAGGGGTGGCTGTGGTGGTGGTGGTGAATTCAGACCTCCATGTGGTAGGCAAAATAATGGATGCCCAAAGGTATCCATGTCCTGATCCCTAGAACCTGTATGTTACATTACATGGCAAAGGAGAATTAATGCTGCAGACAATTAAAGCTGGTCAGATGATCAACTAATGAGATGATCTTAAAATAGTGAGATTATCCCTGTGAACCCAATGTAATCAATCACAGGGGTCCCTATAAGTAAAGGGAGGCAGAAAAAGTAGGAGAGGCAAAGATGTCAGGGTCAGAAAGAGATGTGACAGCAGCAGCAGGATCAGTGTGATGCAACTTGAGGCCCCAGCCCCCCACTGCTAGCTTTGCAGCGGGAGGAAGAGGATCTTGAGCGGAGGGATGCAGCAGCCTCCGGAGGCTGGAAAAGGCCGGGAAGGAGATTCTCCCGCGGAGCCTCCAGGAGAGAACACAGAGCTGCCAATACCTCGATCTGTGCCCAGGGAGACCTACGTTCCATCTAACCTACAGTTTTGTATTAAGCCCCAAACTTGTGGTAATTTGTTATAGCAGCAATAGAAAATCAATATGCTGTTGATGTTATTTTAGTTTATCAGCTGTAGGTTAAAGGCTCAGCAGGGAAGCTGGGTTTTAATGTATTATGGCATGGATTCCCTTACAATAAAAAGGGACAGAATTTAAATTCTAAAAAACCACCAAAGTAAACAAATTCACAAATCTGTCATGGGGACAGATTTGAGCTGACCTTGTTCCAAGGTACCACTCTTCCCCACTTTCTTTCATACTGACAGGAATCAAAAGGGGTCAAGCAATTTTTGCTTTTGCACTTTTCTCCCAGAACCAACTCCTCATTGAAATTTATGGAATGTCTGACTTCTGAAGTATTATCTTCCATGGTTTCAGACTGTCTTTAGGCACTTCTATGTTAGCTCACATCAGCAAAAGAAAAAAATTAATAGAGCCAAGAAAAAATTAATAGAGCCAAGAAAAAGATGCAAGGGAAACTGAGCAAGAGAGAGTGGGTTTACATCAAATGCACGGGAGCAAACCTGATGTAACTAAGGGATGTATCTGTAGGCAAGACCACAGAGCAGCTGAGTTTTATTCCATATCTGCCTGGTTCCTGAAATTCCCCCAAGGTTTGAGAGTAAAGAAAAAAATCCTTAACCTAACCAAAGCAGCCTTACTTCACCTGATATTTAATTTTAGGCTATTATCTTGAAATAATTCCCTATATAGACAGCATCAACAAATAACTTTAGCATATGCTACCTCCAAGAAGTTCATTAGAATTTATACATTATCCATGCTTCACAGACCACCAATACTTATTTCAAATTATTTTAAAGTAAGATTTTTCTAATAAGTTTACTCACACAACCACCTCAGGGATTCCAGAACTCCAAGGGACATTATTCATTGTATCAAGTGGCATCCATTATACTCCATGTGAATGGTGCCCCCTGGTGTTGTGCAGCTCAACAGCTCTGTATTTACAGTCCCAAAGCCTTCAGTATTTCTCACTCAAGCCTCTTCCTATCTCTTGGACCCTCCTATGGTGAAACATTCTTTGTGTATAGTCGGGGTAAACCAGGAAGGCTCATTAAGTGAAAACTGTCATTAGTTCCACCACTGCAATTCTGACACAGGTAAAGTTCATGCTATAGAGGTCAGGGACCCACGTCTAAAATGCCTGTTTCCTTTAAAGTTTACTTCTTTAGAAACTTTCTAGTTTAAATTAAATTTCTCAAATTTTCCTCAAAGTGATTATTTTCTGGAACACAGAAAACAAGTATCACAGGACAGCATGTCTCACTGGTGTTCACACTCAGTGCCCCAAATTAGAACCAAGGGTTGTTCATTCAGTCTTCTCTTCAACATTTACTAGTTCTGTGACTTGAGGGAAACAATTCATAATGGTCATCAGTTTCCTCATTTGTAACATGATCAACAATACCAACCCACCTCACAGGGTTCAGGAAGGCTTAAACAAGATGTAAACATCATGTGGTGGGTATAGAATAAATGGTAGCTATTCATACAGTGAGTTCTTGCAGTGCTGATAGTTCTGGTTTTTGACCTAGGTAAATGTTATACGGGCATTCAATTAATAACTTGGTATTTATATACAAATGGACCTCATGGGCTCCTGCAATTATATTTCACAATTAAAAATAAGTGGTAGCTGTTATTTAATGTTAATTTATGTCATGGTCCCTTAAATGACCTGAGTCCCTACTAATTACAAATTCTAATATGGCATATTACTTAAAAACAGATGTTTCATTTTGTAGCAAACAGGTGGCTTTCCTCCTACATCCACTCTTAGTACCTGTTGCAGAAGGAAGCTGGCTAACTACACTGGGCCTCCTGGCGGCTAGCCCCACTCCTGCTCATAGCCCAAAGAGGTGCTGCAGGAATTGAGAATGGAAAGTAGGAATTATATGTCCTTATGACAATTATCCCAGCCAACGGCAGCACTGGCAGGCCCCAAGAATTTGGGTTAAAAACTCGACACCACCATTCTTCAAAATCAACTTTCTCACACACACACACACAAAAAAAAATCCTGATTTTAGCACTGTCAAGAAAAATCAGTCTCAGGACATCATCTCTAGCTTAAAAAAAAAAAAATTCAGTTTCCCATCTTACTAATCCATTTAGTCACTAAACGTGATTGCAAATTATTAGGATTATTTTTAAACAAACTTTAACTGCACCCATATAGGATAATCCCCTAGTTGAGACTATTCAAAATGTTCCAGTACCAAGGAGAAGCATTAATAAACAGAAGAGCTATTGGTGTGACTCATCTCAAGGGAATGAGGCTTTGAAGGTGTTGTGGTCACTAACAATAAGCAAGTTGAAAACCAGTTTGAGGGGGATTTTCTGAAATTTTAGCGTTTGGAGAAGAAAGGTAAGCAATACAACATAGTAAAAGCTTGGGCTCTGGAATCAGATAGGGATTTGTAATCGATCTTTGATCAATTTTTTTTTTTTTAGTTTCTTCATCTGAAAAATGGGCCAAATGAGAATAGCTAACTCATAAGGCTGTGAGGAAATCAGAACGCATGTATAAGCTGTAATAAACTAAGGTATACTGCACTATAGTGGGCACTTCACGTGTATTATCTTGTTTAATCTTCAATGTTCTCTGTGGCAGCTATTAGTCCTACTTTACAGATGAAGCTTAAAGGTGAAATTCCCAGAGGGAGCCTAGGTTCTCAAGAATAAGAGATTCCAAAACTTGCTTTCTTCTACACTATATTATCTTGAAGAATTGTAAAATATGCATTTTTCTTAAATCATGAATTCTTTAAAATTTTATTATTTCATAAGCTTTTAATAAGTTTATAGCAAATAAATGTTTACAAATTAAACAATATTTGTTTTTACACTAAGCAGCTCCCTCCAATTCTACCATATCAAAAGGTTACTAGACTTTAAAATATTTTCAATAATCTTTATATTAACTTGAAACAAGCCAATTTAGAAAATTACTGACCTAATTAGATACATTATAGAAATGTATTCTTTGTAATATTTGGCTTGTTTCTGACACTCATTGTCCCACAAAATACACATGCCAAGACTAAGAAAAGAGAGCTAATTAAAAGTGCTTTCACACATTCATGTTATTCCTTCTCAAAACCCATTTATAGACTATGGACATAACTGTGATATCCAATTTAACATTTTCAAGTCAATCATTTTTAAATATTATCTGGTAAAATAAAAACAACTCTTATTATTTCAAGTATATAAAGTACCCTTATCTATTATTTCTAGAATATAAAATAGGAATAACTTCTAAATACTTATGTTTCCTATTTTAGTATAACTGGCATGAGAAAGGTTATTTCTTGACTTTTCTCTGTACATTATCACCATTACTGCTCAATGTGAAGCATCTTGAAAGCCAGAAGAAAAGCCACAAAGATAATGAAACATGTTGGGCCAGAGTTTGAAGAAAAATGAAATATACCACGGTGGAGTAATACAATTAGAATCACCCAAGACACAAAAACAGGATTCCACTTCATTGCTAACAAATGTAGTTCAAATGAACAGCTTCATTAAAGAGCTGAGCATGGCTCTCTAGTCCTCCCAGGATTAAGATTTGTAAACAAAAAGACCATCCAGTTCTAGACCTGCGAACTGTACCTTCCCTACTCATAAAGGTGTAAATCAGCTATGAAAAATTACTTGGTTGTAATTTACAATGACTAGTAGTGGGAAGTTTATTTGCAGGAATTGGTTTGGACTTAAGATGAGAAAAAAAACACAACTTCTTGAAAAGGTAAAATAGCTTAAAGCATTTAATATCTAAACAAATCAATCTGTTAATAGCAGTAGTCACAAAATATGCTTAATATAGAAACCCACATTTTATGTCTTTTAAGAAAAAGTGTAAATTGTATTTTACCTCAAAACATAAATTATTAACCCACTTAAAGAATCTGCAGTGGTCAAAATCATGGTGAATTTTAAACAACTTCGGAATAAAATAACCTTAAGTACTTTAAACTGCTTTATATCTAAAAATGCTTACAACTTCTCATAAAAATAGTCTGAGGCAACTATTTTTTCTTTTATTTTTTTAACAGACACGTTCAACATTATGGGCAACATTCTTAAAACCTTAAGCTTCAGACTTTCAGACATTCAAATACTATGGTCCCCTTTTCTTGATGTGGGAGGTTTATTCCACTAGGAAAAAAAATGCACGGTAGACAACTTAATACATTTTCACCAAATCAAAAGCAGTACAAAAGTTTTAAGACTCTAGAGAACTACACACCGTACCTAATGTATCATTAAAAATAGAAGACAGTATTTTCTTCGGCAAATAAAACAGCATACTGGTATGCTGTTAATGCATATCTTTTAATGTGTACTGTCATAAGTTATTTACAACTTCTACTTGTGTGAAGAGAATGTAAATTTTCTGCAAAACTGGAAAAAAGCAATACAAAATTTGTGAAAGCCTGTTTATATTATACAAAAGCCAGTTTTTCTCTTCCAACCCAGATACTGTATACAGTGATATTCTGCACATATTATAGTAATTCTTGAGGATGTTTTAATGCTGGAGGTAAGTTTACAGGCCTTGATTCCTCATCAAGGAGCACTAGGTCTTCTATCTCACTGCCTCTGTACTTCCTCTTACATATTTTTACCACCACCTTTTTCTTGAGAAATAACTTTAATGCTTCTCTGGATGCAACTGCTTTTGCATTTTCTTTGCTTTTTCCACAGCCAGTGCCCAAATACACAGACTTGCATCTCAATTCACAAACAATACTTTCTTGAGAGCTCTTATTTTGAGGCAGATCTGCCAGTTCTTTTAGTGGGACAAAAAACACATCCAGTGTTGCTTTCAGAGCCTCAATAGCTGCGTTTAGAAGCTCTCCGTGATTCACACTAGGACTAAAGCCACCAACAGCCACCAGCTTCCACGCCACCGTTTTATACAGTCTATTGAAAAAAGGTTGCTTCTGTTTCACATCTTCATTGGTTAACTTGCAACAAGAGAATTTGACAGAACTCTCACTTGACTGGGAAGTACTTTTAGAAGGCAACTGGGATGTGCTAGTCTGAGAACTACTCTTAGAAGCCAGCTGGGACACACTTGCTAAGGAAGTGCTTTTGGAAAGGAGAGATCCACTGGCCTGTGGGCTGCTCTTGGAAGCTAATAGTGATGCAGCTACCTGTGAAGTGCTTTTGGAAGTCAGCATTGATGTATTTGATGTGCTGCTCTTGGGAGTTAGTAAGGATGTGCCTGATGAGGAACTGTTTTTAGAAACCGATGATGAAACATTTGCCTCTGAACTGGTTTTGGAAGTTAACCCACTTGAAGCTGTCTCTGAACTAGGTTTAGAAGACAACAGTGGCAACTCTACTTCTGAGCTTCCTGAGGAGCCCAACAAGGGCACCTCAATCTCTGAGATGCTTGGAGAAGCTGAGACTGAAGAGCCTTCCAAAGCACTCTTTTTAGGTGACCCACTTTGCTGACTGGAATCTGTGGACTGGGTCACATGACTATTCACACTGGATTTCAACAACGAAGAAACAAACGATGCTGAACCATGTTTATCTGGGGCTTCTGATTCAGAAGCTTTTCCAGACCCTGCCGTTGTTACCTGAGAGGAAACGCTGCTGCTGCTGCTTTGGGAAACAGATCGATCTCCATCACTTGCAGAGCTACTCTGATTCGAGGGGGCAGAGCTCCGAGTGGCGTTCCCACTACTCTCTGATTTGGTAGATGACCCCGTACATGCTGAGCTGTTTTCCTGTTGAGCTGATGCATGTTCTGTTTTGGCAGAAATTTTTGCATGATCTTGCTCAACTGCAGAATTGTTTTTTCCTTCTATAACTCGTTTTTTCGTTGGCTCTTCTACCCCTTCTAAAAAGAAGGAAAACAGATATGAGACTAAGTCTACCCCATACACATCAGCTTAAAATATATAAGACAGAAAGACATTCATTAAAATAAAGGCACAAGGCAAAAATATTTCAGGACCAGTAGTTTCTTTAAAACAGGTGGAACAGCCCTGGTCAGTGTAGCTCAGTTGGCTGGAGTGTTGTCCAGTACACCAAAAGGTCGAGGGTTTGATTCCTGGTCAGAGTACAAACCCAGGTTGCAGGTTCCATCCTGGGTCAGGGTGCTTGTGATCGGCAACCAATTGATGTTCCTCTCTCCCCCCCTTCCTCTCTCTAGAAGAAAAAGGTGGCCTTCCCTGGCCCCTTAATTAAAAAACAAACATGCCCAGCCGGGCGTGGCTCAGAGGTTGAGTGTGGACCTGGGATCCAGGCGATCGGGGTTCGATTCCCAGTCAGGGCATATGCCCAGGTTGCAGATTTGATCTATGCCTCTCTCATCATTGATATTTCTGTCTCTCTCTCTCTCTCTCTCCTTTCCTCTCTCTGAAATCAATAAAGATATATTAAAAAAAACAAAAACACACAACTCATTAAAAAACAAACAAACGTGGAATAACATCATTAACTTCTTAAACAGCATCAAATATCATTAATTTCTAATATTAAAAAATCAACAACACAGACATTTGACACCTCAAAATCTAAAAGCAGTGAAAGGAAACTATCAAATTCAGAGCCGAAAACACACACACAATTTAGGTTTAACATTTCAACTTAACATTATACAGTGGAACATAACATTATTCCAGCTCGTTAAAAATTAATAACAATAATTCCTAATTACATAAAACTTATGTTCTAAACTCCTATGTATGTTCACAGCTATGATCTGCTAACCATTGCTACTTGATATCCCTCTTTTCTTCACCTTGGCAACCAGTTCGTCTCTTGTTGTATGGACTGGAGCATCTGTCACTTTGATGCCTTCGGCCATACTAAGTATTTTATCCATAACTTTTTGAGGGTACCTGGAAAAGAAGGAAAAGCCACTCTTAAATAGGCCGCAGGAACGGCGTGTCCTGGTTGCAAGTGTACCAACCTCCGGGAACCGTTTCCAGGAGCCTCAGGAATGAGCGCGCCGGCGCCAGGGAGGCGGGTCCCTTGGTACCGACCCGAACCTCCGCGTCCGTGCCCCGGAGCGCGGCC